TTAAAAATTATATAACTTTTAAAATCGATCATATTTTTTGTAATTATATATTAATTTTTTAAAATTATAAATTTTAGTAGAGTATAATTTTTGGTCCGTAGTGTTCTCCATACTTCACTTTTCATGGACTGTCTTTTTTTTTGGGTCAAGGTGTCTGTGTTAGTTTACGTATATTTTAACTAATTCTTTTTTCGATCCAATCAAATGCAATTCATCTATTTCGGGACTAAGAATTATATGAGAGATAAGTCTCTCATGATCTAATATCAAGAGATTGCTAAAATTCAAATTCATAACGTTTTGATTTAGAACTTGTCACTATTATTATTTGAGTGAATAATTTCATTTCCATGGCAGTCTGCCAAGTAAAACATTCCCCTAACTTTTTCTATTGTACCAGAATTTGATGCATGCAATTAGTCCATCTTTATCTAATTAGGAGTAAATTACACTTTACTCTCCTAAACTAGTATTCTTATATTATTTTATACCTTCAATTATAAAATTTTTCACATTATACGTTAAAGTATCAATTCTTTTTTATATCACTCCAATGGATAACAACAAATTTGAAAATCTATTAAATGAGGGAGGGAAACCTCAAAGAGCTTCTGACTAAGCGTCTAGTACCATTTTATTTTACCTCTTTTGCAACCAAATGGTTGTTCGAAGGAAAAAAAAGGTCGGCTAGAAGAAGAAAATTTAGAACTTAGAAAGGGTAAAGTCATAGATAAGTATTTTGTTTTTTATTTTTGACCTGCGCATATGCAATAGACAATTGCTTATTGGCAATACAGATTACTCACATGCGCATTTACTGTCAAAAATTGATAGTTGTTATCCCTTTGATTGACATGAAATAAAATTGATACTTTAAAGAGTAATGTAAAAAAAATTTATAATTGAAGGTACAAAGTAAAACAAGGGTAATAATTCAAGAGGTAAAATGTAATTTACCCCTAACTAAATTGTTTTTGAAAAAATTAAAAAAAAAACTGTGTTAATCAATCACAAACTATACTAAGGAAAAAGCATTACAGGTAGGATGGCAATAGAGTATCAAGGTAAATTATACCAGCTGTTATAATTCAAGGGGTAAAACTTAAAAAAAAAAATGTTAATCAATCACAAACAAAACTAAGGAAAAAACATTACAGGTAGGATGACAATTGACTGATAGAGTGTCAATTACGTGTAAATTATACCAGCTTACGTGTAAATTATATTCAGTTCCAATGTTGCTCTCCTCAACTAACTACGACCCTATTTTATATTGTCTCTTCAACCATAATTCTGATCTCACTCTGCCTCTCAATTTTGAAGTTTCTCATTTTACTTCCTCAATTATCAATCTCTCAAGTTGCAAGGTTATTGGTTTCATATTGTCCCAAAATGTGGTGGACATTTACTTTCAACGTAGTGTGTGAACAATTCTGAATAGTTAAGGGATTCAAAGTATAAATTTTCCCATAGGAATTCTATTTAGATTTTTCAAATACGAAGAGATATACACACATCCTTGGAGTTTTTATCTAGATGATTTATGTGGCTAAATTTATCTTCAGGGGTGGATATGACTGAAAAATGTCAAAAATGATTGGCCCATTTGATCCCACAAGTAATCCATAGTGCTATTCACAGCTGAATAAGATGGTTTCTTATCTAACAAAATCTCCAATTGAACTCTTGATCTTAAAAAGATAAGATTATCAGACAAGGTAAGGTATAACATTAGACCAAAGATTCATTGATAAAATCAATGAGAACTAGATGGTACCAGAAAAACCTCTTTTTTCCCTTGAATCCAACTCCGCTTTTGCTGAGATTTTTAGTAGTTTTTGTTTTGACCAACATGATGACTACTAGGTTTCAATGGACAAAGTGGGTTTGACTATGGTATCGATTTTTTTTTTTGGTAACAGAAATGTAAAACACCATGATCGTCAAAAGTAATGAAAATCAATTCTTCATACTCGTCATTGTAGAGCTTATATATGGGGCGTTAAAGCAACACATCACTACCACAATTAGGTTAAACCCAGTTTCATTTAGCACTTATCATTGGTTTCACCTTGAGCATCCTCTATGGAAGAATGGCCTCGGAAACAAGAACAAGTCAGTAAGAATCATTTTTTTTGCTTCTCCTTAAGCCTTGAACTTCTCGAACAAGTGCATGGTCGTAGATTTTAGGCAATGAGCAAGAAGAAGTGGAAGACCAGATGATCATCACTACCCAGAAATACATATCAAAGTTGTGACACTGTCACATGAGGCTCTCTTGTGTCCTAATAAAAGCCCAAGTACTAAAATATTTATATTTAGGCTTGTTAAATTTTGGGGTCGGGGGAGCATTTGTTTTACTCTTATGAGTTCAGAGTTTAGACCAAGTAATTTCTTCGTACCTTTATTTTCACCAAGGGAATCTTGTGACAAAATTTGAACTCCTGAATTCTTTATGAGATTCATCCAGTCTTCATGATAATTTTTTCTCATTTCATAGTGTCAATTTGGATATTATGTCTATTACACATGCATGTTTAACTCAAGCTATTGTACGAGAAATTTGTGGTCGTCCTCTTGCTTTTCAAAGCGATAACCACATGTATTTGTTTTGCATGACAATTGAAATGTTTCACGTTTAACTCAATCCTATATATTTCATGTAAATTTCTTGTTGTCTACCAACTAGAACGTTCAGATAACTTACCAAGCCTGTTTGTATAAGAATTTTGATGGAGGCAATTAAACTTCAGTTAAGTAGAAAGTTCGAAAGAAAGCTAACCACAAGTTCTGATGTTGTTGGTCTATGAATACCTATTTCATACAACATGTGCTAATCCATCACAAAGTATATAGAGAGGATCACATTAGAGTTTTGAGATAAATTATACTAGTTCCATTCCCAAGTATAATTTTTCAGTTTTTTTCTTTTTTGCAGGTACTTTTCAAGTTTCAATGTTAAGCATACGAGTGTTCAAATTTTTTGATTGGCCGCAATTTCCTACCCTACCTGTCCTTATTCTACCCTACAAAACGACTAGCAGAAAAAATTATGTAAGAATGCGGAAGAGTTTTTAGTCTTTCGATTAAATCGGGTAGGAATACAGAATACCCATCAATTTTCACATTCTTACCTTACCCTGCTCTACCCGCAAAAAATATATTTAAATTTTTTATATTGTTTTAGTAATTATAAGAGTATTTGTGTGGTATAATTTATATTATAACATTTTTATTGTTGTGAATGTTTGAGTTGCTAAAACATGGACTTGTTTTTTGTATAGTTTACATAATTTGTGGTGAACTAGTGATCTATTGGAGCAGTTATGATTTTAATGTGGTTCATATGGTTTAAACTTAAAATAATTGTTATTGTATTTGCGTAATAATTATGATGAATTGATGTTCATGCTTTCTTGTGTTTTATTATAATTGTTGTTGTAGTTGTTTTAGGTTTTAGTATTATTGTTAAAATAATCCAAAAATTAATAGTTATAAAAGTGTTACCCGATTTCCTACCGGACTTCCTACCTGATTAATCGGGTAGAAATTCGGGTAAGAATACCACACTTGATCGAGCAGGATAGACCAAGAAAAAATTCTTCCACAAAATATTGGGTAGGAAGATGAAAGACTATATTTCCTACCCATAAGGTAATTTCGGTGGAGATCATTTATCCCCACCGAAATTTTTAAAGAAGTTAGCGCTAGTTTTAAGTTATAATTAAAATTAAATTTTATGATAATTTGCCCCTACTAATTAAACAATCATTTTCACAAAATACAACGAATTTTAATAATTGTTGTTTAGTCGTTCTTTTCAATTGGATAGTTGCCCCCACCGAAAAGTGACTATAGCCCCGCCCCTGCCCGTGATCATTTATAATTTATTCATATGATCCACCGAATTTACTCATGTTTAAACGAAGGAGATTGCACGAGAATTTCATGGATTTGTCTTTCATCAATGCTGTCAAACTTTGTAATGTCTCTTGCTTTTAGCAGCCACAGCTACTTTGTATTATTTACCGTCTGTGAGACTTCGATTCCTACATACACATGTATGTTTTACTCATAGATCTTAGCTATACTTCTATTTTTCTCTTTCATCTGTAAAACTGTATGCGACTTAAATTTAAAAAAGGTCAGTTTAAGTGGTAATATGAATAAATTATAAATATAGACGTTATAAGCTTAAAATTTGGTAATTTTTTAGGGTCAGATCAAGAAAATTTTATCTCTCATGAATACTATAGTCCAACGTTTATGAACTATTTTTGACCGAACCAAAAAAATAGATTAATTAAAATGTACGTAAGTTGATCCAAAAATTGAATAAAATAAAATAAAAATGCCGAGAATATCCTCGAGGCAATATCCTTCTGTTAAACGTGGAATAATACTTCTACATAAGACAAATGGCAATAGTTATCGGTAGTCACAAGAAAAGGACTTGACATAAATGTGTGGTAATCATTTGTATCCAATTTATGGCAATTGAACAAGAAATTATTGTGGAGAGTTACAACTGATTTAGGATGGATGAGTACACAATTTGAGCAGACTCCTTCCATGGGCTATCAAATTCGAAAAAAGCTTTTTGTTTACATTATAATTTAAGTTATAGCAATCAAAATGAATCATCGTCAATTATCTCTTGATTCTTTGCTTTGGTGTTTCTAGGTTTCGTGTTCGGATAGGATTTTACCATTTTGGTCATTTGTTATTATTTTTTTTTTAACATATTTTATCCGCAGTTGCAAAAACACAAAAACACAAATAAGTCAACTCCAACAGTTTTCAGGTATTAGATGCTTAACCAACATTCCTCTAAAGGTAAGAACTTTTGGAAATAGTGATTTGTTCTTTTTTCCTAGGAATTAGGTGCTTAACCAAGATTAGAGTTCATTTATCATAAATAGGTTCGACCCTCTCAAGTTGGTGCACTTAATTGAAGTTGCAAAACAGCCCAAGGATGGGAAAATAGCGTGTGTGTGTGTGAGAGAGGGAGAGAGAGAGAGAGATGATTAACAAAGTGGGAACATTATGATTGCTCCTTATTTAAGGTTTAGTACAACACATGTAGACGGCAATGTCTATGTGTTGAATTATTTCAAATACACACCATACTAGATAATTATTTGTAATTCAGAACGTGTTCTTCTGAGTTAAGTAATCACAGGTACTTGGATAACGGTGCCACTGCAGTCAACCCAAATTCGAACCCTGTCGCACCTAAAATCTAGGGTGGCGGGGCAAGTGTCATACATAATGATAGTAGTAACCAATGAATTTTCCCTCTCAATTATTGCAGCTGCATCTTGTGCTCGCGTCCCAACAAGCTCTGGCCATGAACTCTTACCTGAATCATTAAGCACAAAAAAAAATATTAGTCGAATTATGTTACTATATTATCCACTTAGCATTGAAATTCTAAAAATATTCTTAACAATAGAACTTATAAAGAGATCTTTACCTTTACAAATTGAAGCCATCCCTAAATGTTATGCTTTTTCCTTAGCTTGCCTTGTGATTGATATGGACCGGCTGTGATGAAACGAGTATTTATAGACAAACATAGCCTTATAGCTTTACAGATGAAACGTGTAGGTAGTAATCGTAATCTCACACAAGGCACGCCACGTGTACAGAAAGATGAGAAGATAAGGTTGGTGGTCCAGTGGTCCTTACTCACGTGCCTGAGTCAAGTCTTTACTGCTATCGATGATGAATTATTTGAATTAATTGTAATTTTTTTTACTGAGTTGTAATTTGACATTTTTAAAAATTATACATTTTGGTACGCTATCATTTTCGGTTCGTAGCGTTTCCCTTACTTCACTTTTCAAGGGCTGTCTTTTTTTGATCATTGGTCAAGGTTTCTATATCAATTTACGTGTTTTTTAATTAATTATTTCTCCGATTTATTCAAATACAAGTCATTTATTCCAAGATTAAGAAATTCACAAAATATAAATTTCTTATGACCTAATCTAAAGAAATTATCAAAATTTGAATTCATAATATTTTAATTTAAAACTTATCTCTATTATGATTTGAGCGGTTAATTTCAATTTCATGGACTGTCTGTCAAGCATAACATTCACCTATCTTTTTCTATTGTACCAGATTTTGATTCGTCCGGCTAAGAGTAAATTACATTTTATTCCCCTCAACTATTATTCTCATTTCAGTTTATGCCCTTAATTATAAAATTTTTCATATTATACCTTAAAGTATCAATTTTATTTCATATCACTCTAATAGATAACGACAAACTGAAAAATCTGTCAAACAAAAATCTTCTCGTTAAGTGTCTAGTACTACATTACTTTACCTCGTTTGCAACCAAATGGTTGTTGGGAAGAAAAAGAAGGTCAATTAGAAGAAGAAAATTTAGAGTTTAGGAAGAGCAAAGTCATAAATTGTTATTTTTCTTAATTTTTTTATCAGCATATGTGCAATAGACAGTTCCTTAAGGATAGTACAGACTATTCACATGCACATTTATCATAAAAAAATTAACAGTCATTTTTTATTAGAGTAATATGAAATAAAATTAATACTTTAGGACATAATGTGGCGGACATTTACTTTCGACGTAGTGTGTGAACAACTCTGAATAGTTAAGGGATTCAAAGTATAATATTTCTCATAGGAATTATATTTAGATTTTTCAAATACGAAGAGATATACACACATCCACAACAATCCTAGATGATTTATGTGGCTAAATTATTGGCCCATTTGATCCCACAAGTTATCCATATTGCTATTCACAACCGAATAAGATAGTTTCTTATCCGACAAAATTGCCAATTGAATCCTTGATTTTAAGAAAACAAAGTTTTCACACAAGGTAAAGAAAAATATTAGACCAAAATAAAATCAATGAGAACCAAATGATACAATAAAAATCCGTTCTTTTGCTTGAATCGAACTCCGCTTTTGTTGAGATTTTCTGTAATTTTGTTTTGACCAACATAATGACCATTAGGTTTCAATTGAAAAGTGGGTTTGACTATGGTATCATTTTTTTTTTTTGGTGACGAAATGTAAAACACCATAATCAGCAAAAGTAATGCAAATCAATTCTTTCATACCCGCCATTATAGAGCTTATATATGGGGGGTGAAAGCAACACATTACTACCATGGTGGAAATATAATTAGGTTAAACCAGTTTCATTTAGCACTTAACATTGGTTTCATTCTAAGCATTCTCTGTGGAAGAATGGCCTCAGAAGTAGGGATGTCAGTGGACCGAAGCGGGGGGCGGGGAGTGTAGTCTTCATCTCCGTACCCGCTTAAAAAATTTTTGTCCATCCTCGGTCCACCCCCGTTAACAAGTATAATTTTCATTCTCATCCTCGTCCACGGATAAATTTTTAATCCCCGTCCCCGCTTAAGCTCAAACCCAAGCTCAAGTAGAATAATCCATAATTCTAAATAAATCTAATATTTTAAATAATTCAACAACATTCTAAATAATCTAGTGAATAATCTAAATTACAAAATGTAAAAGTCAAAACAATATAGTATTATGTTTAAAGTGTCATTGGACCACAAAAAGAGAAACAGAACTATTAGAGAGAAAGGAAGAAAAAAAAAATTGAACTAAGAAAACGATAGCACTACACTTGAAATTTCTTAGAAGAATTTTTATTATTACAATTCATATTACAGTCATAAAGTGTTAAAAGATGAAAACTTAAAATTTTGCTAATTCAATAATTCTCCCAATTTCTTTGTTCACTCTAGTAGAGAAACTCATCAACCTCCATTCACAATATTTTTATCCACAATGAAATGCAAAACTATCTTACTCTCTCTTATCTGTTTTTAGAGCATGGTCAAATCAAACTCATAACAGTTTCAATCAGTGAATACAAATAGAAAAAAAATAATCAGGAAAAAAGTTGATAAGATTACCACATAGCAATGCCACTTGTTAGTTTGATTACCATATTTCTAAATTAGTAGTTACAGTAAATATGTTTTGTTAAAGCTTGCGAGTGTATATATATATATATATATATAACGGGTAGCGGCGGTGGGGAGGGGAGGGGCGGGGGCGGGGCAGGGGTAAGGGTAAGTTCATCCCCGCCTTCATCCCCGTACGGGTTTATACGGGTATCCCCGTATACGTCCACCGTCCAATACATATAGTCCATCCCCTGTCCAAACGGGCCGGGTTTGGACGAATACCCGCTTTTCTCTGGTCCACTGCCATCCCTACTCAGAAGCAAGATCAAGTCAGTAAGAATCATCTTTTTTTGCTTCTCTTAAGCCTTGAACTTGTCGAACAAGTGCATTGTCGTAGATTCTAGGCAATGAGCAACAAGAAGTGGAAGACCAGATGATCATCACTACCCAGAAATACATATCAAAGGTGCGACACTGTCACATGAGGCCCTCTTGTGTCCTAATAAGAGCCCAAGTACTAAAAAATTTATATTTAGGCTTGTTAAATTTGGGGAGGGGAGGGGGGGAAGGGGGAGGGAGGGGAGGGGCTTTTGTTTTACTCTATGAGTTTAGATTTTGGACCAAGCCAATTCTTCGTACCATTATTTTCACCATGGGAATCTTGTGAAAAAATTCGAACTCCTGACTTCTTTGTAAAATTCGTCTAGTCTTCACGATAATTTTTTCTCGTTCCATAGTGTCAATTTGGATATTTTATGTCTATTACACATGCATGTTTTGTTGGAATTTTTTTTATATTGGACTATTATTAATTAATAGTTAATTTTTAGTTTGTGAAAAATTGGCTGAATTTATGGTCCAATGAGTTGAGCATAATATTATTAAGTGATCTATTTTGATGGGTTTATGTATATCTTTTAATTGATGTGGTTGAGGTGGTTAAGTGTAGGCCTTAATCCAATTGTGGCTCGTAATGGGAGAGCCCATTAGATTTCATTATAAATAACAGACTAGGTCCCCTTTCTATTTTCATAACCCTAAATTGGCTTGTCTTATTGAGAACCGCCTATTGTTTTGAAGAATGAGAGGAAGACCTTGTCCTTTCACGAAATAAATTCGGAGATCGAGTATCATAGCTCATACAAGTATGTTTTAAACCTTGTAATTTAGGTGTTCTAGATTTGAATTTAATTACTTAATTTTCAAAAGTAAAAAATAGAATTGAGACCTGAATGCAACGATTGATAATTAGTGATCTAAAGAGATATATATTGATTAGTACCTCATATTGATTGATCACATAATATTTAATTATGGGCAATTTGTTATAATATTCTGGTTTGAGAAATTATATTAGTTAAGATGGATGGTTACCACCAAAATAGTCTATTCATTGAAATTTATAGTTTTTCTCATACATTTGTTACGGGATTATCTCTAAATTATCATATACAATTGCCTGCCTAAAGGAGATTGCTATGTATTGTAATTTGGAGATGTCATGAAACATTGTGGTAGAGGTGCAATATTCTAGAAGGTTTATCTGCTCAAAGGGAATAAATTTTTTAAAACTTGAGTATTCTCATTTGTTAGTTTCATGAAAGAAATGACCTATAGCATATGCATTCTCTGTCCAAATGGGAGTTTGTAGTGATGTATTTGGACTCTCTTAATAAAATATATCTTATTATGTTCAAAGCATATTTTATTTATTTATTGCCTAATTTTGCTAATTATTTATATTCTCATTACCTTGACCAATCACTTTTGTTATGAATAGTAATAATGTCAACATTAAAGTCTTGATTGGTTCTAATTATAAGAGATGGAAGCAAGATATTGAGTTTTCTCTGGGAATTGTTGATATAGACTTATCTTGATAGAGAATGAATCTGTCAAACCTACTGGTGAGAGCTCGCCTGATGAAAAAGAACTTTATGCCAAGTGGGAGAAATATAATAGGCTGAGTGTGATTGGTATGAAAATGTCTATCTCTTAACACCTTATGAGTGGCTTGTCTGAAACCAAGAATGTCAATGAGTTTCTTCACCGCTGTAGGAGAGAGATACAAGGTATTCAATAAGACTGAAGTTGAGAGTTTAATGAATGAATTAATGAGTATGAAATATGACA